CTCGCAGGAAGGTAAGGTCTGATAGAGCTGTCAAGCCAGGACTAATTTCATATCTTCCCGGATCAGGATTGATGTGTGTTGGCAAAGAAGTAAAAAACTGTCTCATATATTCAAGAGCAGGGTTTCACCTGTAACTCAGTGGTTAATGTGAATACACATTTTATTAAAACCATTCAGCTTTCACGCCTTTGATTTAACATTCTCCTCTTATTCCCCAATGATGCTTTTATTGGCTGACTTTAGAAGGTGAAGACACTGCAGTACAGCTCTGCGTGCTGCTGTTCTTCCAGCCAACGCTGCACATAATCTAACCATGTTTTATAGGCATTTTCATTTCATTTCTGTTATCTGGTTCAGGGCCAGCCCTCTCACAGAACAGGGCATGATGCATTAGATTCATTAGATGTGCAGTATTTTGCTTCCCTCTCTTTGGCCTTTTGGGTTAGGAGAGAGGCGTGGATAAACACCCCAGCTGATGATAAGAAGACCTCCTGCACGCTGAATAGGAGGCTCAAGACTTGGGGAAGCAACCTGGAATGCATTCAGAGGCTGAAAATGGCTCTCCTGGAAATAATGAGCTGAATCAAAGAGAGAATATATTCAGGACCTTCAGCACACTTCCATTTCTTGCTCCTACAGCCAGGTTGGGAAATGGTCTTTTCACAGGTTCCTTTTCTAGGCAAGAAACAATCTGAATGTTTTTCTGATAGCTCGTGAAAGGAAGATTTCCTTTTCCATTGTGGCTGGGTGTGCAGCAGTGCCAGTTAGGAGAACAAAAGGCTGATTTTTGTCAATCTTTCATTGAGAAGCGGCAACGTACTTCTTTCTGATACCACAAAGTCACAACAACGATTAAAAGAGCAGGTGAAGGGAGCAGTTTTCACTGCAGGCTGTACACACGTTTCTTTGTTCGTTCCAAACCCACCCTCTAGAGGAAGCAGCTTATGCTTGATGTTACTGATCTCCATGTGTTTCCGGGTGCATTAGCAGTGGTTTAAAAGCAACTTCCTCTTTCAACCTGTTCAACTTTTCCCCTTGCTTTCTTTCTAAGATGTTGACCTGCAAGTATGATACCATGAGGAAAAAACCACATAATGGAGAGAGCCGGCCTCTGTCTTTTCCACTGTTCATTTCCTTGCCAAAATAGTTTATCTCCTATTTACATCCTCTGCTCCTTGTCTCCTTTCTATTTCAGTAGCTGGTCTGGCGCCTGTTTCTAAAGATTGATGCATCTGCATCACTCAGGCATTTGCTGCAGGAGCATTTCCAGTGCTTCAGAAATGTCTCAGCATCTGATGAGTCAGCCTGGGGGAGCTGATAGCTCAGTAAAGGGTGGAGTGGGGATCACAGAGAGAGTTAGTAACAAGCACCTCCAGCAGTGGCTCATGAATCACACCTCTACTGGCCAGGGCTGGCTGCTGGTGCCTGGAAACCCCCTGTCTCTTTTGGGTGTGATTTAAAGATACTGTTGGGCTGATATTGAAGTGTTTCTGTGCCACGGTACCATAGAGAGGCAGATGTCACCTCCTGAGGTTTCAAATGCCACTGTGTCAGGGCAGGGATCAAAAGTTTAGTTTCCACAGTCCCTTTACGTGGCATTTTTGGGCTTGTGACTGGGCTGAGTTCAGCTGTGGGGCAGTGGAGCACCAAAGAGCTCCTGCCAGGTGGAGGGAAATGTAAGACGAGGAGCAGCCTGGGCAGAGAGGGACGTGTGTCCTGTGACTATGTGTGAATAATGAGAAAGCAATTACCCCGAGCAGTGTGAGGGTTTATTCATAGGTGTAACATGTCAGGGATAAAAAAAAAACACAGAGGGGAAGGGAGAGTCTCGGTACCGGAGGAGAAATCCTCCCTGGGGGAATTCCTGGGCTGAGCAAACAGCCCTCACGGGAGAGGAGCACAACTGGTTTTTTCCATGGGAAATTCAAAATGTTGGACTCAAGGAGGGAGGTATCTCGCAGAAGAGATCCAGCCTCTGTCCCTTGAGAAGGACTAAGAGAAATGACTGGCTTTTGTCTTTAACAGATGATTATTAGATTTTGTTAGGTCATTTCCGCCCCCCTCCTGCCCTGGGGAATGAAACTGCCTGTGTCTGAACAACCCAGAGATACTTGGAGAAACACACCAGAAATCTTAATTTCCAGGCAAGAAAAAAAATAAGGTTGTGAAAACTAGAAGGTGATAACCTTCTATATATGTTATTTATGTATTAATATATATTCTATATGTCTTACAGATATAACAATATCTGTAAGAGCATGTCAGCAACAGTGTTGTCAGCACAAATTTAGCCTGTGCTGAGCAGTATTCAGAGTATTCTGAGGTACATTTGATACAAATTGGAACTTTTTCTTCAAAAGCAACTATTACAACTGCGCTTCTACTTGATGGCTCTAAAAAACCACGAGAAGTATCAGTGTTACATCCTTTTCTTTTTTAGTGATCAGACTCGTTTGACTTCTTCAGGTCACACCTATAGCAGAAACGCCTCTCACTCTAAGGAACATTTCTTCTAACCTGTGTAAATCGTTTCTCACATTAATTGACCTGGAATATAATTATAAAAACTCCTAGCAGACCTGTGTCTGTGCCACTAAGTAAAACCAGGCCAGGAGGCAACACCTGCTTAACTGTTGGCAGGTTTCTTGGTCTGATTTTATCCTGTGCAGTCCCCCAGGCAGATACGGCAGATGGGGATGGAGAGGGGGGGTCTCTGGACACCACCAAGGGCTGACCTGTTTCCACTGATACTTTGTCTGTGAACTTGGGTGTTCTTAGTGCAGCAGGAGCGACGGTGGAGATGGTCCTGAGACGTGGGATATACTTCTTGTTTACTCTGCAGTCCCCCAGGCAGATACGGCAGATGGGGATGGAGAGGGGGGGTCTCTGGACACCACCAAGGGCTGACCTGTTTCCACTGATACTTTGTCCATGAACTTGGGTGTTCTTAGTGCAGCAGGAGCGACGGTGGAGATGGTCCTGAAACATGGGATATACTTGTTTACTTCTGTCCCTGGAGCAGATCCAGCAGGACCAGGGCAAGCAGATAATGTTCTTGTGGGACCAGACCCGTGGTCAGAAATGATGCTTGGCTCTCAGCCAGCGGCTTGTGCTTACAAAGTGTCTCTCATCTAGGAGCAGACTGGGCAGAAGATCAGGTGGTGGCTCCTTTAGGCTGCTCCTATCTCCATACAGCTCTGGTTCCTGGAGCTGGGTCAGTCTCCCTGTGCCTATCCCCACTTGGCTCTGGGATGCAGACAGTGGAGATGATGTCTAGAGAACAAAGTTAGAAGGGACATTTAGGGATGACAGTGAGGGAAGATGGGCTGAGCTGCCTTTCTTACTTGTTTCTGGCCTCATGGACCTCTGTGGTCTCCTTTCTCCCTGCAGAAGTGTATTTGCTTGGAGGGGTTTGTTTCTTTTGGTATTATATATCTTATGTGTTTTTATTTGTCCTTCAGGCTTTTGCACAGAGGCTGGAACTAGTGACAGTGTGGTCTGTAGGCATCTGGTGAGGAGGAGTGGGTCCAGTGGCCAAATAGCATTTGAGGAGAAGGGAAACCATGAGTAGAGGCTGCTTGAGTGAGACAGAGGGCTCCAGGAGGGGCTCGGGGAGCAGCCAGCGTGTTTTGTGAGATAAAGTGGGGTTGCCCGTGTGGGGCAGATGGGGAGAGGAGGGGACGTGGGGAGTGGGAGAGGTGAGCAAGACCAGCCCTTGGCTTGTGCTGAGGCTGGAGGGTGGCTGCAAAGTTTGGGAGCAGGGCTGGGGCTACCCTTGGGCCAGAGGAGTGACCCTGGGGGGTGCGTAGGGGTGGGGGGCAGCTCTGTCACCCCAGGGGTCCCTCGTGAAAGAGCCACACGCTGAAGCCATCGCCCACGTGGGGCTGGGGAGCACGGCAGCCGCGGGGTTAAAAGGAGGCCACGAGCACTTTTCTGTTCCAATTTTGCAGTTGCTGGAGAAAAGTCTGCTTCGCTTTGCAGAAGGAAGCTCTGGGGATGGCTCTGGGATGAGGGACAAAACCAGGTATTTTGAGGATAGTGTTTTGTTTGTTATTACACTGTTTGCGATTCTCTCATGATTTGGAGCAACCTTGTTACATATTCATTAAAAATCTGATCCATCTGTTTAAATTTGATACGGAATTTAAGGAGTATGAAGGATAACGTTTTTGTACAACCAGAGGTCTTGAGGATGATTCTCTGTGGTGCACAGGGCAGAGGTGTGTGCTGGAGCAGATCCCCTCCCTGCGCCGCCTCCATGGGGTGACCTGCTCTCCTGATCTGTGTCTGAGCATGTGTCACAGTTCCATACTCTGTAACTTCTAGAGCCTTCCTGGTCCTGACAGAGTCCCTTGAGCTAATTAGGTGTGAGCTAATGATGTGCTCATGCACGAGTGCAGTAAACCTTGTGCTTTATGCCTGATACACCACCTCGTGTCTCTGATAGACTCAAATAGATTCAGCCTATGAGCTTTCCCATCCCAGAAGAACCCCCTGGAAGACATCTCCTGTCAGTGCACAGTACGGGATCCCCCCAGAACTGGGCACACTCCAGTTCAAATCCCATCTTGCTGCTGGTTCTCCTCTTGCAGAGGTAGGTTAACTCCTTTAGCCGGGCTGCTGGAAGGTCCTGGATTGCTTCATTTTCTACCTCGGAGCTCATTCTGTTGCTCAGCCAGGAGACAGTGTCCACCCTTCTTGGTCAAGTAAGGATCATTTCATGTCCTTGCACATGCAGATGCCTCTGTGAGACTGGGTCATCTCTTGCACCACTGCCTGGTAAACAGCCCTTCCCTCCCTCGGGGTGAAACTGCTCCTCTCCCTTTGGTGTTTCATCAGCCGCTGTGTTCTGTCTCTCTGTGTGCCTCCTGCAGCACTCCCTGGGCATTTCAGTGGGACGTGAGGGTGGTTGGTTCCTTAAGCACAGGCAGAACTTCTGTTTTTAGTTTCTTAAGTTGTTGGGGTTTTTTGGTAGGAAGATGTAGTAACCAGAGAGGTATTTTGGATGACTGGCAAGGACCCGAGCTCTCACTGCTCATGCAGACGCTTAAGAAATTAAAAATTTAGCCAGGTGCTTTGTCATCATGTCAAGGCTGAAGAAAAGCAGTGTTTAACAGGGAGAGATACAGCTTTGTCCCCTGGGATGCTGCAACACGGCTTCATGCTACACATTTCACTAGAAACATTTTGTGACTGCAGGGGAGAGAATGAAGCTCAGGAGCAAAACTGAGGCGGGGGCTTCCCCGGAGGATGGATCAGCTGGGAAGCAGCGACGGAAGGATCCGGTGTTAGAGCAGCTGCCAGTTTCTGTCCCGAGAGCTGCTGCCGGGAGGAGGAGATCAGGCTGAGGCTGCAGAGGGGTTGGTGTGTCAGGTTTCCATGCGGGGCACGTGTGGATAATGCGAGCTGCGAGCGCCGCTGCCTCCTCCAGCCGCCGGCACGGAGCGAGCGAGCCGGGAGCATGGGGCAGGTGGCTTGGAAGGGTTTATTTCTGTCGCTTTTCGATTATAAGACAGAGAAATACGTCATTGCGAAGAACAAGAAGGTGGGGATTCTCTACCGAGTGGTGCAGCTCTCCATCCTGGCTTACCTGGTGGGGTAAGAGTCCGCCCTGCGTTTCGCATGCGGCTGCGTTTGCTCGCTGTGTCGTGAGGAAGATTTAATGTAGGATACTCTGCACAGAGAGACAGCTCGCTGTGCCTTAGGATTTTAATGCAGATAATTCTGTTTGTTTATACAGCTGGGTTTTGTAATGACTAAAAGATTTATATCTGATTCTTTTTCACCTGCTAGGGGTTGCTAGATTCGGCTCTACCTTCCAGATTAGCGTAGGGTTAAAAATAGATCAAATGGCACTATTGCTTTGTGCTGCATTATTTACACCTTTATGTCTGTATTGGGTGGGAATGGTGCCAGTCCTGAACACCTGAGGGGGACACATGAGAAACAATAGCGTTTATGGCCACGGCTGCTGAGCCCTGGGACAAACCTGCCTTGTCTGCACGACATGCTCGAGCCTAAACGGGAGGGATCTGAGCACAAAGTGACAGATTTCTTTGCGGCAGATTTCTTTGCAGCAGCTAGGGTTGTGGAGGTTGAGGCAGCATGAAAGTCTTGCATTTCTTTCAGAGCAGGGGGAGTTGGCATGGAGATAGCTGGAGCACCTCTCAGAAAAGGCCCAGTTCTGCAAGAAACTGGTCCTGCTGACACATAATGAACACAGCAATGCTCCTTGCGGGCTCAGACCTGGAATTATCCAGCCTATGAGATACCTGTGCCGTTGCTCCCTGAGTTTCTGAGGCTTTGCAGAATGTGATTTGTAAGCCTTCCCCCTCACTGCCCGTGCTTCTGAGTCCCTTCACCTTTCTCACAACTCATGTGTTCACTGATTAAATATAGCAGAGTCATTTTTACACGCTGGGTTTATTTATAGAGAGGTGCACAGATCCAGAGCCTGCTTTAGTTAGCAGGGCAGAGCTGAAGTCTCAGCAGCCTGGCATGTATTAGCTGCTAAGGGAGGAATCCTGTAGATAACATTGCTGAGGACACATCCTCTGTCCAAAAGGGATACAGCACGACCAGTGACTGTCTATGTTCAGAGACTGGTGGGGCCATACGGGCTATTTTCCTCCCTTGGAATCTGTTGCCTTCTGCAGCCCTTTGTCACTGTCACCGATGGTCCTGCAGTGACTCCTTTGTGGCTGGGGGCTCACAGCGTATCGCAGAGGTCGTTAGTGTTGGTCTGGTGTCTTGATTACATACCCATTCCTGTTCAGAGGCTGGCTCAGGGGTTCTGAGCATCAAACCCCTTCAGATTTCTTGCACGTAGCTGCCATTTCCTCCCCGATTCACCACAGAAAAGGTAAGGGTCGGCTTTTGAGCCTTCCTGGGAGAGAAAAAAAGAGTGTTCTTGGGAAAATGGGAATGTAGGAAACTTCACAGGGGTGGGGAATGTTATAAATCAGGTTTGTCCCATGTGGCAGGTGAAGGGCAGCATCTGTCAGTGCTGCTCAGCCCGGGGTCAGCCTGCATCCCTCCCCCAAAACCTGCCCTGCCACCCTCAGCGTCTCCAAGGGTCTGGGTGATTTGGCACCTGAATTTGGCAGTATTGTGGAGAAGCTGGAGGTGTTTCATTTAACCCAGAGTGGTTTTCACCCAGTGATACGGAGCTCTTGGTGCTCCCAGAGGGTGGAGAAGCTGGAGGTGTTTCATTTAACCCACAGAGGTTTTCACTCGGTGATACGGAGCTCTTGGTGCTCCAGGAGATGAGAAGGAAGCAAAGCCTTTCCCTGGGCTGCTCAGCAAGGGAGCAGCTCTTCCAGGGGTGCTGGCGAGAAGCCTGAAGCTCAGCACAGAAGCTGGGGTGATGTCAGGTCGTTACCATCATGCTGGCTTACAGCAGACCCTGCATCCAGCTGAGAACATTCCCTGCAGATCTCTGTTAGGGATACTCAGTTCACCTGCATCTCCCCGGTCTGTGGCTGGACTGGGAGCTTAATGGCAGGCTGCTGAAATGGGAGTCGTGTATTTGTGAAACAAACTACACTCTTCACTGCAACTTGCAAAAGCTTGTGTTATTTTTCATCATGAGGAGCACAGAGCCCTGCCCTCCCCTCTTTCCATCCAGGTTTCCAAGCCTAGCACAGGACAGGGAGGCAGAAGGTTTGGTTTTTTACCCTGTGACCAGTTATTTCACTTTTCCCTCCGCATAGAGTCTTGGTCCTGACTCTTTCTCCAATCCTGTGGATACCTCCAGCTTGTGTCAAAGAGTTTATTCTAAATTTGTAGTAGTAGTTGCAGAGGGTTTGGTGGTGTTGGCATGATTTGATTCACCCTTGAATGGTAAATCTCTGGCTAACTTGTCCCCTGACCCTACTGGTTAACAGTGGTGCCTGCTGTGTTTTTGCAGGTGGGTGTTTGTTGTCAAGAAGGGCTATCAGGACACAGACACGTCCCTCCAGAGCTCTGTCATCACCAAGCTGAAAGGGGTGGCCTTCACCAACACCTCGGAGCTGGGGGAAAGGCTGTGGGACGTTGCAGACTACGTCATCCCTCCGCAGGTTGGCATCACCCCACTGCTACTGTCTCTGCCATCTTCCAGCATGGATGGTGCTGGAAAGGCTGAAGTGATGTATTGGGGTCTTTCCTAGGAATAAGCAGGAGATGGGCTACAAGAAAGGGATGCTGTGCCTTCTCTTAGGTCTTTCCAGCAAATTTGAAAGCAGCTTTGTCTCTCTTACAAAGGCTCACACCACTTGGCAAGCAGAGCCTTGCAGGAGAAGTCCTGTGGATTTCAGTAGGACTTTTCAAAGTGTCTGCTGGCCTCCATCCCTGGGCTAGAGCAGGCGTGCGTGGGGCAGCCTGGAGGGGCTGGGAGATGGAAAAGGAATGTGGTGCAATTTGAGTGATGAGGGTTGCTTGAAATGTGTCTGGCCAAACCTGCCTTGCTGCTTCCTCGACTTGGACGAAGCGAGATGTGTAGCTGATGCTGAAGGGGAGAAGAGGGCAGCAGATGTAGCCCAGCACCGGGTTGGAATTGCCCAGCTGTGCTTGCCCAGGGCTGTTTGTGCTTGCCCTGCTGGTGTCTGCCACACGTACATGGAAAGATGTGAGGGGAGAACCAGGGTTTTGTGCTGACAAGGGGGCAGAAAGTGGTAAATTGAACAATTCGCTTGTCTGTACATAAGAATAAGGGTTCACTTTCCTCCTGCTCCAGCCCGGGGTTACTCAGACCCACGAATCTTTGCTCTGTGTCTCCACCAGTTTAATGCAAAGCCTCGGTGGGAGCTGTGGGACTCAGACCACCATGTGCTGTGCAGCAGTGTGTTTGCAATGCCTCTTGTTCAAGCTGTGTGCAGGCCTTGGGGACACTTAGCAGGTGGCTGGTGCCCATGGGAGCTGTGGGACTCAGACCACCATGTGCTGTGCAGCAGTGTGTTTGCAATGCCTCTTGTTCAAGCTGTGTGCAGGCCTTGGGGACACTTAGCAGGTGGCTGTGCCCACACCCAGCAGTGAGATGGTGATGCTGACCTGTGTTTTAACTTGTCAGACATTTCTCCTGTGACATAGTGGGGTTACAGCCTGGTGGCTTATTGGGAGGGCTTGTAGGGGGTGTGCTGAGTGAAGGCAGTGGCTCTGCCTCTGGGCTGTGGCATCGCGAAGCCAGACGTGGCCGGGCCACCAGGCTACGATATCAAATCCAGCCCTGCTGCAGCCTGCCCTGGAGTGCATCAGCCTCCAGCAACCACCCTGATGTTAGACCCCTTGGTGGGTGGTTGTTAAAGGGACACCATTTGGGAGAAAAGGTATCTATTTTACCTTTTTGCTGAATGTGGGGAAGGGACCAAACAGAAGCTGTGAGTGTGCAAAGGAGAGAAGGCTCCAGAGGAGGAGTCAGCCATGCGTATTGGGGCTTTGCCTAAATACAGAGGGAACATTACATTGCCAGAAACAAGGATTTTAGGGATGAAGATGCAGTCAGCTCTCTTGTTGCATGTCTCAGACGGTCATCCCAACGGCTCAATAAAGGGATCTGTGTTCTCTCTCTTCCAGCCACGCTAGAAGTGCTCTGTGTTGGTTTATCGCACGTCCGTGGTGTTGCACTAACTCTGCTCCTGTGCTGTGTCCTGCTGCCCTGCTCCTTGTAACAGCCTGACCCTGGCTGAGGACAGGCACCCACGGCTCTGCAGGGGACGGGGCCTTTGATCCCTGACCAGGCACCGTGTCCTTACGGAAAAGGAGGCCAAGTGCTTGTGGAGGAGCCAGCGAGGAAAGGCTCAGCCATCCTGCTCACTGAATTAATGTGGTCTCTGCAGCAGAACCCCTAAAGCCACAGAGACCCACCGGCCTCATCCAAACAAACATCCAGGCAAAGGGCACTGTGGTATCTCAGCCTGAAAAGCATCAGGAGAGAGGGAGATGTTACTGCCCTGCAGAGAACTGTATCCTCCTCCTAACAGGTACTTTCAGAGTAAGACTGGTTTTCTAACTCTTCCTGCCTTTGTTTATTCTAGGGTGAAAATGTCTTCTTTGTCATGACGAATCTGATCGTGACCCCAAACCAGAGGCAAGCCACGTGTCCTGAGGTAGGAAGAACTGAGCCCCTTGGCCCCCCGACCCCTACAAAACCAGGGGTAAGAACTGACAGAGGACACCTGGGGAGCAACGAACACAGGAAGGATTGAAGGCGAATGGTTTTTCTCTGTAGTGTAATATCTCAGTTGGGAAAATCAGACTGGTTACTGCAGACCTGGGAGGTTCAGCTGTCTTAATTCCTAGAGGCCCTAATCATGTAGAGTCTTGCTGACTTTAGTTGAAGGTGTTGGACATCTGCCCAGCTGGAGATGAGACCAGAACAGTGATTGCTCAGGGTCAGAAAAGGCTATGGGAAACAACTTTGGGGTGACTCAATGGATATGGATAGAGGAGACTTTCTAAGACCCCATCCTGGGAAGGGTTGAACATTCAGGCTTTCGTTACCTTCAGGACACAGGAGGGTGCCTACTGCCTCCCAGAATGTGCCTTATGGGCCAAAGGCATGAGGTCTTTCCATGTGATACTGAAATGTCTTCTGTGGTGACGCGGTTCAGAATGGGCTGGAGCCCGGGGGAGGAGGACACTGGCCATCCAGGGAGTGTTGTCTCCATGGAGCAATGATTAATTTTCCATATCTCAAGCACAGGGGTAGCCTGGGCCAAGAGCACAGCTTGCTCGTTCAGGACATGGCTGTCCTCTAGTGGCTGCATCAGCCCAGCGTGCAGCCAAGGGAAGGGTAAATCTGAGCTCAGAGAGCTTGTAGTTTAAATCAAAGGTAGGGTTATCGCTTAAGGTGACATATGTGGCCTCCTGCTTGGCTTTGGTGAGTGGTAGGTGATGTCTGGGTTTTTCCACAGCCTGCCCCTTTCCAGGCTGAGCAGAGCCCAAAAGCAGGACATCGTAGCTGAACTGTGGTGTTGCTGGTGGAGTGATGTTGTCGAGCTGTTTGCATGTGACCTGCAGTTACCACTTCAGCTGCACATTTTCAGTGTTCACCATCCTGTAGAGGACTCGCCAACATCAGTGACACTTCCTTACCCCGTTGAGTCTCGTGCCCTGTCACAGGTCTCACTTCTGTCCTCTTCCACTTTGCAGAGTGGCAACATTCCCGATGCCCTGTGTGACAAGGACGAGGACTGCCCGGAAGGAGAAGCAGTGGTGGCTGGCAATGGTAAGGGAAGGGTCCCTCCAGCTCTGTGTCTGGTAGAGGCAGGTTCCTCCAGAGGCATTGCCCTGGCTACAACCCCAAGGATCTCTGATTGCAGAGAGTGACAAGGACTTTCTTTTCTTTACCATCTTTTATTAAGATTGCCACTTTGCTTACAGCTCTGTGGTGGCTGGGCCAGAGCACCCCAGGCTGCTCAGAGGAGCAACAAGGGAGAGGTTGTTCCAGCTGGGAGGCTCTTTGACAGCAGGGAGGAGCCTTTAGGGTGGCACGTAAAGCATTTTGTTTCCATGTGCCCTGTGGGCAAGGAGAGGAGGTGGCTGCTCTGTGTGACCTTTTCTGTGATGTCTGTGCCGCAGGGGTTAAGACTGGCCGCTGTTTGAAAGACAGGGACAGCATCAGAGGGACTTGTGAGATACTGGCCTGGTGCCCAGTGGAGAAAAGATCCAAGCCCAAGTACGTGGCCATCCTGTGCTGTTTCCAAGCTTGAGTTACTTGGCTTGTGTGTCACTTGGGGCGGTTTCTGGGTTCCCTCTGCTTGCACCCTTGCTTGAATGTTGGCTGTTCCAGTGCAGGAGGGAGCTCTGCATGGCCCCCCAGCAGGACTGACCCTCTGCTCCCCCCCTGTTTGGCTCATTGCCTGTCCCAGGGCTGTTTCCAGCTCCCAGGGCTTCCCCTCAGCCTGCACGCTCCCCACCAGCTCCGTGCTGGCAGTGTGGGGGAGGTGGCATGGCTGGCCTAGCACCACGGGGTGAAACCTCGCTCTTTCTAAAATGGCAATTCCAGTTTAAACCTGTGGACAACTTCTGAACACAAACCAGATAACAAACCCTTCTCTTCCAGGAAACCACTTCTCGCCAGTGCAGAAAACTTCACTGTTTACATCAAGAACTCAATCCGCTTCCCCAAATTTAAGTTCTCCAAGTAAGTGCAGGTGCTCAGAGATCCCCCTGGCCTCTCCATCACAGAGCCAATAAACTCAATTTGCTCCACTGTCCTTCTCCTGGCCAAGGATTGGGGTGGGGAGGTGGATATTCTATGGTGCATAGAGAGGCCTTTGGCTTCAGGCTGTGTGGAATCAAGGAGATAATGAAGACTTGGAGCTTCTCAGAGAGCAACTGGGATAAAACTGTTTGTATTTGGTGCTACAATATGAACAAAATAAATAAGTGTAGAAAGGAGTCTGCTCTTGCTATTCTCCAGCCTCAGCTAGATATTTCTGGCATCTTTATTGGTTTTCCTGGAGCACTGTGGCAACCTGCTCCATGTGAGTCCTTTCTTGAGCCCGGACTCAGCTGGAATGGAGGTGATTTTTGTGTGGGTGCAGACTGCTTTCCCTGGGCCAGCAGTAGAGAGGCTCACAAGGTGACAAGGCAAGGTGCCGCTTTGTTGTGTAGAGGGTGTTGGAGAAAGCTCTTGTCTCTGCAGCCTTGGTGGTGTAGACTGGGCAGGCAAGCGGAGAGGGAGACAAGGATTTCCCTCTTCCCTGTGTGCAGGACAAACGTGCTGACAACAAACAATGGGTCCTACCTGAAGAGCTGCCGCTACAGCACGGAGCATCCCTACTGCCCCATCTTCCTCCTGGGGAACATCGTCCAGTGGGCTGGGAGCGACTTCCAGAAAATGGCTTTGGAGGTAGGAGCCCCTTGGGCTCATGCAGCTTCCCAGCTGGCCATGTTGCTCGCTGGGTGGCCGTGAGGAGAGCCACTGGTGACTGCCTGGGGACCTGCCCGCTGGCCAGGGAGCGGTGGAGAGATGCTGGTGCTTAAAGTCACGTTGGTCCCATTTATCCTGTCCCCAGGGAATGGGAGGCAGGGTGCTGTAGGTCCTCTGGAACAGGTGGTTGGGTCAGTTATCTGTTATTTGGAGCTTCCCAAACCGCTGCTCTGCCAGAAGGGTTTCTGTGTTTAATTTCCACATTGCTACACCATTGATTAAACCCCAGAGCTCTGGAAGGCCAATGGGGCTCCTCTGTTCAGAGAACACCCCGGGAGGCTTCCCCTGTGGGGAACTGACCCGTTCCTACATGGAGACCTGGGGCTAAGCCCCAGACAGGCTGTGACCCCGTGTGTGTTGCCCTGGGGGGGAAGATGGAGCCAGTCTGAGCCATCCGGGAAGTGCAGGGTAAGAGAGCAGGCTTTGTGCTGGCTTCTGCACCTGCAAACCTCATCCCTGCATAAAAAAGCATCTTCTCCACTGAAGTATGTTACAGACACCTAAATGAATGCAATCAGTGTCCTGGGATGAGAAACCTCCTCAGCACAGGGAAGGCCAGGGTTGTGTGGAGACTGATGTCAGAAGCATGACCTCAGCCCATCCAGAACATGTGTGCTCGTGTCTGTGACCAGAAACGCAGCTGGTCTTGCCCTGGGGAAAACCTGCCCAAGGATCTGACAAATTTGAAGACACATTAATTGAACTAAGCTTAAAAACAACTCACGCTGTCTCTCTCTTTCGTTAAGGGTGGTGTGATAGGAATTCAGATTGAATGGAACTGTGATCTTGATAAAGCCCCTTCTGAATGTAATCCTCACTATTCTTTTAGCCGGCTGGATAACAAGTTTGCAGAAAAGTCCATCTCTTCTGGGTACAACTTCAGGTGAGTGAAGAGGAGAATAGGATGCGGTACCAGAGTTGGGCTGAGCTGGTTTGACTGGAGGCTGGGGGAGAAATGCTTCAGTGGAGGGAGGGAGCCATGGTCATGGCAAACTAAAGCAGTTTGTGGTAGGGGAATAGGTCTGTCTGAAGAGAGAGGTGAATTCAGATGGTTCCTGCGTGTGGGGCAGATGATGGAGTTAAAGTCAGCATTGTTATGTTCCAGGTTTGCCAAATATTACCGGGATGCTGAGGGGGTCGACTACCGGACACTCATTAAAGCGTATGGGATCCGCTTTGATGTGATGGTGAATGGCAAGGTGAGGTCCCAGAGTATTTCAGAGCCTGGAGAGAAAGGAGGTGGGGGACATCTCTCAGTGGGATGGCAGCTCTGGGACCAAGAACGGCCTCTCTGGCTTGTCAATAGCTCCTGCTATTCATCCAGGTGGAGCTAACCCGACATAAGAAAGGAGATGACCTGGAGTGCAGAGAACTCTAAAACCAGAGAACCTAAACCCAGGCTCATGTAGAGTCTGACAGAAGTCAATATGCCTCAGAGCCTTGTTTTCCATGTGTAGGCAATGCAGAAAAAAAAGAAACCTAAGCCAGGGGTGACGCAAGCTCAGAAATGCAGCCCCAGACAGTCAGATCTGGGACACACAGACCTTTAGCCTCCAAGATTGTTCACTGCAATTCTGTGGTTGCTCCTGCTCGTTGCCAACACAACGCACCCACGGGCACCAGCAGCTTCCCACCCTGTAAAACCACACCCTGCAGTCTGTTTCCCGGGTTGTCCTTTCACCAAGTTCTTCATGGCCTTTTCTCTTTTAGGCGGGGAAATTTAACATCATTCCCACCATCATCAATATCGGTTCGGGGCTGGCTCTCATGGGGGCAGTAAGTGAATATATTTTCTTAAAGGGACATGTTGGGGCCAGATCCCTGGTTTGGCTGTTACAAGGATAAAAGGGGATGGTTGGTTTAGATCTGAGTTTCTGCAGCTCTGACTGCTCCTCAGGTGTGTGCCTGTCTCCTGTCTTAAAGGCATTTGTTAATGTACCTTGTAGTCTAAATATCCCTAAGACTACATGGAGTATGAAGGGAAATACAGCTTCTACAAGTTATTCTGCTTTAAGTAATGCTCATTGCTAACTGGAGCAGAAAACTTCCTCTTCTCCTCTAAAGATCAACCACAAGTTCTTTCTGTTTGCAGGGAGCTTTCTTTTGTGACCTGGTGCTGCTGTATCTGATTAAAAAGAGTAACTTTTATCGAGGCAAAAAGTACGAGGAAGTAAAGTAAGTGGGTTTGGCTCCTGTGTTTAAATGTAATGGCTTTATTGCTGTGACTGATAGACATAGAGGGAGATGTGGGAACGCAGTAAACATTAGTGGCAAACAAAGGCCAATTCCAGGAAATTGTATTTCTCCAAATGAGTTTAGCCAAGTTCCTCCCTCCCTCCGTAATTCACTGCTGCAGAGCTGGGGAGCACAGGGACCAGCTGGGCCATGGGGTGGGGTCTAAGTGGCCTCACACTGTTGGCCCATAATGACCACAGATGGAATTGGGGCAGCTTTGGGGCCTCCTGAAACAGGGAACTGGGGCTTTAGCTGTATAGAGGGTGACGGCCTTTATGACAGGCCTGCTGGGAACCTCTTGTCCATGTTGCTCCTGCAAAAGGAATAGTCTGCTCTGTCACCTTTGCTTGTTTCTTCAGGTCTGGTTCCAGGAAATCGTTATCCAGCCCCACGCTGAATGGGAATCAGAGCCCTGACCAGCTCGGGGGGCTCTAGACATGGCAATGGGTCTACAGCTGGACTCGTGGGCCAGGAAAACCACACAGTTGTGGAGTCACACCAGGACTGGGAGGTGGAGATACCCCAGATCAGATCTACTGGCCATTATAAGGATTCCCAGAGGGGGAAAAAAAAACAGAAAGTCCTTTAAAGACCGCCCTTCTTTCCCTGAGATGTCCTCCGGTGTCCTGAGCTTGCAACAGTGTGTCAGCACCATGGATTTATAAAAGGATTTCATAAAAGGAAAACAAAGGCACCAAATGTATGTTTTTATATCTATTGATAGATATATATCCGTACCTACGTCAATAGCCAGTGCTACCCCATGGCTGTGCTTCGCTTCCACGTGCGATGGCCCCTTGAGGGCCCCTTGAGGAGGGCTGAAGCTCCACTCTCTCCTGCTCCACTGGCTTGGGGCCACCACCTCCAGCTCCCGCTCGTGTTTCCTGCAAGATCAGCTGAACAGCAGCAGGACTGCTCCGTTGTGGTGTGTGTAACCATTAGGGCTAGAAACGCTGCTCCTCTGGGAAAAGCCTTCCCAGCAGCTACAACAAGGTGCTCTGCTCGTCTCAGGAACTGCGGGAGAAGGTCCTGCTCCAGCTCTGAACGGAGAATCAGTTCTCTGGGCCGGGTCCTGCTACCTCACCCACTGCCCCTGTCTCCGTGTGTAGGCAGGCAGGGGGGGTCTCTTGAAGGAAGGTGGGGAGAGGTGTGTTTGTGGTTGGGAAAAGGGGTCTGGAAAGCAGCGTGGCACTGGGAGGAGCTGCACGGGGATGGTCTTGGTTCTCCCTCCTTTGTTTCAGTGCCTGGTTTATTTTGCCTGGGATTTGTCCTTTCTGTGTCACTCACCAATTGCTAGAGGTGGGAAGATCTGGAATGGGGACTTAACACCTCTCCTGTTTTTTGTAGTACCCTGAGAGAGACTGAAAAGGGGAGCTTGATCAGATAAAACAGATTTTGCCAGGTTTTTCCAAGTACACCAACAGGAGGAAAACTGAGAAGACAGATGTCCACTATTTTAACACTCTGGTAACTTGCAAGAACTACAAGTGCTTCTTTGTTTCCCAACAGAGAAATAGTCTGGTTGCTGCCCATTTTGTGAATTCATGCTCATGTGGGGATGTAACTAATCCCAGAAGAGAAAAGTGCTTATAGAATATCATTGTTTACTTTTAACGTTTGCATTTGCTTGAGATGACAGAAGTTGATTGTCAATATTTTTGAAATATTAGTCCTTTCATTTAAGGCTTTGACTCTCAGTACAAATGGATCAGAGTGTTCTGCATGTGCCATCGATCAGGAGCCATCATGATGAAGATTAAGTGTTTCTTTGCACTCTCTGACCATCAAGATTTAAAGGATTCCTGGGGCAGAGTCCTTAGGTACTGCCAGGACAGCTGCACAGACAAGGCAAGCTGTGCTCAACCTCTGATGCTCTAATGGCATCCAGAGCTGCCTCTCTTTGTGCCAGAAGTCTCTCCTCTTGGCAAACATGACTTACCGTGTGTAGAACCAACACACCAATAAAACAGCCCAGGCTTTTGACCACCAGAGCTTAATTCTTAATTTGAGTAATTTCTAGATGGTGAAAGGTGGTGAACCCCACAGGTGACACCAGGCCAAGGCACAGCTCCTGGAACACATAAAGCTGCCCGTGCCCTACTGGCACCAGTGTTTCCACTTGACAAAACAACATCCTCTTGGGAGATGACCAAATTGATTTCCTGACAAAGTCTTCAAGCCCCCCAAAACCCTAGAATAGTTCCCTTTTTATACCCTCTGTTTAACACAATTGCCACAACCATGTTGTTAATAAGACATAATCAGGTTCCTTGTTTCTTTTGAGTGATTTTTTTTTTTTCTTCTATTTAATGTACAGCAATAAAATTTGTCACTGTAGGGCAATGCTCTCTGAGCTTCTGTAAAGGGTGTTCTTTAGGTTGCACACACTGCTTTCACTCTGTGATACACACTTATGCTAAACAATTCAATTAAGTGTTTAGAAAGTATTTGAACAGCACAGGTGTATAAAACATACCTGTTAGTGGGTAACAGGTGCTGGTTGTTTTCTGATGGTGTAAATCTGCCAAAGCATATGCTACTGTGGGAATTCAAACCTTGATTGTCTTTTTCACCCAAAAGGAAACATCACTGTTTCATTACTACATTTGTAGTATCGATTCCACCTTCTGTGTAACACTGCATTTCATCAGAAGTTGATTTTTTTCCCATAAAATACTTTTAAATACAGAATGTGATGATGTAAAAACTTTGTGTAACAGAAGAATAGACTATCTTACAGTGTTCTAGTGAAACAATGACTAATTGAAAGAACAGAATAAACCAGATGGGGCAGTGTGTGTTTGTAGGAGAAAAATACATGACAAACCCCAGTTGTTGTACAAGAATTCAATCACTACACTCAAATAAAAGTCTCCAAGCACTATGTTTTCACAAGCAGGGCTATGGCACAGACACTGCCAGGACAGCAGGTGATCCTTTTCCCTTCTGTTCCTGCCAGAGACACAGAACACACCCCCACACTGCTCAATTACAGAAAACACCAACAGGTGTACCGGTGTGTTCAGCACAGACTGACTGCAGGTGGTAAGATGCTGCTACACTTACTTGGTTGTCTCTGTTTCCTGGACACAATGGTACTAAAAAGGCACAAAATGTGTCATGTGTGAGAGCATTATTAAATATAATTATTTATTATTTTGTGTATGCCAGTGAAGAGCTCCCGTGACAATGCCATTTATTGACAGCGTGTACATACCGGAATTGTGGAAGCAATGTTTGTACTAGCAACTCAATTACAAACTTTTACAGATACTTAATTATATGCTACTGTGCAATATATCTTTGTGTCAGTGGTATTTTTTTAAAAGTGCTACTTTTACCAGTATTTGTGTGTAGGAACAGGCAGCAAATCTAGAAGGGATTATAACTAGTGTGTATTATCCAAAACACAAAGGATACAAGGGACTACATTAACCAAAACCCACGGTTGTGCCTGCAATTAGGGACTGAAATTACTCCTTCAACCACCAAACAAATATTCATGGGAGGCATCCAAGTGGTGTTTCACATTCAGTTTAATTTGAACAGTACTACCGATTCATTTGTACTTGGACATAATTTACTGACAGTATTAACAATACAAGCGATGAACAACGGTTTAAAAGGTAAGCTGGCCTAGTTGTGTAGATGACTTTTGGCAACAGTCCTCCTGCTTCATTAAAAACCACTGCAGCTACTGCGGCTCCTAGTTGGTTTAGTAGACATGAACCATGCCGTACAGGAAAGTCCAGAACAGGACATATGTGAAGAGCCCTCCTATAAGCCCCCCTGTGAAAAGCGGCCTCCGGGATTTAAAGTACTTATTCCATCGCCGTCCGGCTTTTAACACCAAGAGCACGGAGAGGAGGACGGAAGCCAGGAAGTAGAAGATGAAGCCGTGCAGGCCGGTCAGGCCGAGGATCCCCGCCGTGGCGCCCGACAGGGCCGAGACCGACGTCCGGCAATAGTCCAGGATGGCGGCGTTCCCCCGCACCGCCGCTTCGCTGATGAACTGCGGCCCCTCGCGCTTGGCCACCACGGCGGCCATGGCTCCCAGCCGGGCTCCGGGACCTCCTCTCTCTCAACGAGACTGGGGTAAAGGAGACACAGGCTGTACGGGCCGGGAGGCGGATTGGCCCGGCGCGGCCCCACTCCAGGCCGAGACGGCGCCTCCGGGCCCGTCGCACCGACCCACCGAGCCCGCTGGACTCTGGGGCGGCCGCTACCACGAGGCCACCCTCAGATGCGCGGTGGGAGCTCAACGGCCCTTAACGGCGCGGAGACCCCTCCCGGCACCACGGGGCCCTCCCGCCGTCTCCCGGCCCCTACCTCTCATCCACGGCGGCGCGCTGCTCCGCGGCACCTCCGGCCGGGCCCGACCGTCACGCCTCACACCCTGCCAAGGGACACCACACACCGCCCGTCACCACCAGCACGCTCGCCGGAACCGGAGCCCGACCGCGCCGCCCCACCGGGCCCAACCTACCGCCACAGCGGAGCTCCTCACCACCCCACCGGAAGCTCCTGTCAGGCATCTTTGAGCGCGGGGGCCGCCGGGAGAGCGGCTCGAGCTTCCGGCGCTCGCGCCTCCGCCACGGGCGGGGCGGCACCCGATTGGCTGGCGGCGGCCGGGGGGCGGAGCCGGGCGAGGCGCTTTTGTTCGGGCGGCGGCAGCGACGGCGGGGCCATGGCGTACGTGCCGGGACAGCCCGTTACCGCCGTGGTGGTGAGACGGGGACGGGACGGGACGGGACGGGACGGGGGCTGCTGAACGGGACAGGGCTGGGGGGGCCGGGGACAGGGCCGCGGTGGGCGGGGGGGCTCTGTCACGGAGGCTGTCAGTGCCCGCGGCGGGCTCGGCCTCCCCCCGGGGGGGAAGAAGCTCCGCCGGTCTGAGGGAGCAGACGGTGCCGGGGGATATGGGTGGGGTAAGCACCTGCTTAGCGGGGATTTTAGTCGCTTTAATCATCGGAGAGGGCACGCGAGGGTCGCTGTTGGTTGTGCCGCCGGTTATAGCACTGACTTTAAGGGCGGTTTGGGGGCTGCGAGCGTTAAACCCGGCCGGGACCGGGCGGTGTCGCGGCGCCCCTGAGGGAGCTCGGGGTGTGACAGGGCGTTCGAGGAGAATCACAGAACGGTTTGGGGGGGAAGGGAGCTCTAAAGGGCATCCAGCCCAGACGTCTTCCCCTGGACCAGGCTGAGGAACCTTTGTAGCGGCCGCTGTCTCAGTTAAAGCCGGGGCTTTTTCTCGGGGCTCGCCCAAGCTGGCGTTTGTGCCGTCCTTAGATCATGGGCAGAGCTTGTCAGATGCCTGTGCTCGTCAGACAGCGAGGAACCTGCCTCTGGGTTACAAGAGTGTGTTGATAACTTATCTTAATGAACCGTCCTAATAATAGGCTGTTATTTCCACAGCCGGGCTAGGCTGGCACACGGGGCATGTGGCTACAGAGCCAGATGAGTCACTGAGTGACTGCTCGTTATCAAGACATGACTCATGTTTGAAGAGACCTGCTCTGGTTGTGATGGTTTCCCCTTGTATCTCGGGGCAACGCTAAAGTGCTGAGGAATTAAGGATCTTGGTGGTACCACAGATGATCTTGCAGATGGTTTCCTGTCCTGTGGCAGGGCTGGAACAGTTCAGAGCTGATTGCCAACACCACAACTGGTGTCACCAACAGCCAGCGCCGTGTGATAGGGGTGTGCTGCCGGGGGTGTAGAGCTCTGCCTGCAGTCTGTGTGGGTGTGACAGATGGCTCTTACCCTGCCCAGGTGGGGACGCAGCGTGGTCCAGGAGACTCACCTGAGGCTTATAGCATCTCTGAGAGACAATCTACCAGAAACACACTTGAGATTTCTTCCAGCGATCCTAATACTCAGCTATTTTATCTCTTTCTCTTCTCAGCAAAGAATTGAAATACACAAGCTTCGCCAAGGTGACAATTTGATTCTGGGGTTCAGCATTGGAGGTGGCATTGATCAAGATCCTACTCAGAATCCTTTCTCTGAAGACAAGACCGACAAGGTCAGGCACTCTTTTGTTTTCTGGAGCAAGTCCCTGCGAGAGGCCGAGTGTACCCAGCTCCCTGGGCAAGCTCTGCTCTCCCATATCTGCGTCCTGTCCTCTCACGAGGCTGACCACTAAAGTTACTCTGTCTCAACGTTATCATTTGCAGACTAAGCTTCTTTTAAGTTAGCTCTCCCCCCTTTCTATTGTCCAATGCTGCACAAGTCTGGTTTAACTAGAATCCTGTAATATGCTACAAATTATTTTTGCACTGTCATGCAAAAAGAGTGAATGGCCCTTGAGTGTTTAATGCTCCTGCATTTAGTAAATGAACACTTAAATTTTTTTCCCCCAGGGTATCTATGTAACGAGGGTGACAGAAGGAGGCCCAGCAGAAGTTGCAGGACTTCAGATTGGAGATAAGATCATGCAGGTAAACATCAAGATAAGACAAGAATTATGTGTACGCTACAGAGAAGTTTCCACTGGGGAAAATGCTGTCTTCTGGGTACTTTCCAGGACAGTTTGTGGGGCTTATAAATAAAAACTGAGCTGTGGAATAAGCGTATCTACTGCCTAGTTCTGATAGAACAGTTAAAGGACAGCTGTGAGTCCGTTCCATTTTATGGTTGGTTGGTGTTTTCTTTTCTCCCCTGAGGTGAATGGCTGGGATATGACAATGGTGACCCATGACCAAGCTAGGAAGAGGCTGACAAAAAGGAACGAAGAAGTGGTACGGCTGCTGGTGACCAGGCAATCTCTGCAGAAGGCTGTGCAACAGTCCATGATGTCCTAATCCATCATCAAGTTGGGGAAGGGTTGGGGAGGGAGATACATAGACTGATATCAAGCAAGGAAGCAAACCCTAGACCTGAGCAGGTTGTCTGGAAGGAAATGCATGTTCCTAACTGTGGTACACACTTTTTTTTTTTTATTTTTCCTTTCTCTGGTGTAACTGGCAGTAGTAAAACTCTCATCCCCTCAGCAGAGTGCTTCTCTAAAGTCTTCCCTGCAGGTACATGGTAAGACTTTATTGTAGTCACAGCTTTCAGGAGGACAGGACAAACCCTAGTTATTTAAAGAAGCAACTGGAGAAGCTTTAGCTTTGACAGGATTCTTTTGCAGCACAAAAGTTTCCTATTTTAAGAGGAAATGTGGTTCCTGCTATGGAAAAGAAGAGGGTTTGCTGTGCCTAAGCTTTTAGAAGTGAGCTGTCCTGTCCTCCCACGCTGTTGAGTGCCAGAATGAAGAGTTGCTCACTGCTGGGGGGAGGAGCACTGTACTAACCCCACGCTGTGTGCTAGCTACACAGAGCATGCTGGAGGCTTCGGGGCATTACGGTTTACTGCAAAGATTCCCTCTACAAAGCAGCCCCTTCAGACAAGAGGCAAAACAAGAAACAATTAAGTAACACAGAAGTTTTAGATCAATACCTGCAAAGTACTTTAAAAGTTCATGGACACTACAGCTAAATTTCTCTATCAGTAAAACCTTAATTCTCCTCGTTCCCAAGTAATTTATAACATCAAATCAATCATGTTTAAATGAAAGGGATATGGAGCAGGAAAGAGATCACTGTTGTTGAACTTACCAAAAGAGCTGCTTGTAGCTGTAGGGTCTTCAGTTTTTCATTCCACTCTGTCAGACTTGAAATGGGAGGGGTAGATTTTGGTCTGTCTTCTAGAAGACTTCACTTAAATCACTGGTTTACTGGATGGATGAATATGCCAATAATTTCCAAAAGTGCCTCTTGACCAAATTGAAACTTCTGCTAAGATACTAAGTTGTTTAAATCAGGATTTAAGATTTTTGCTGCAACACTAAGTTAATTATCTAGCATCCTGGTGGTTTGTTAACCAGTTAGCTTTACAGTTATCCAAAAACTGGAGTTCTTAATCCTCTTCAGTTGATTTATACATTTCTATACTTTCCTTAAACAGTCTTCAGGTAAGCTGTTGTAAATAGAACATGAGGAGGTGGCAGACTAACTTATTCAGTACGTTACTGCTGTGCCATGTACGTATGTTGTGATAGATGCATCTCAGACTGTTCTGTACGCACCAGCAGATGCCTATTGACCATTTTTATATCTATGGAATTACTACAATCCTGCTTTTGACTTTTGTAACTTAAGAATTCAGTGGTAAATTTTAAGGCTTTCAAGTTGAAGTTATTTTTGTTACTATAAAGATACACTGCTATTTGTACTGCTATTTCACTTGATTTTACACACAATAAAACAAAGTTGGATTTCCTGAGCTGTTTCTCCTTACATTTAAGAGTGCCACATCACCTGAGGGCCTCCAGCTGACACCTCTTGTCTGGCTCGAAGTGGATTGTGGAGCACACCATCGACACAGTGCAGTCTGAGGTTAGTGAGGTCTGATCCCAGTGGTGGGGAGGTGCAGCATCAATGAGCTGTCAAACCTCACCTGCTCTCTAGCAGCACGAGAAGGGGCTCTACTTTTCCTTGGGCTGACACACAGTAAAACAGTAGCTTTTGAGCATTCCAGTACAAATGCATGGATTCCCTTCTAGTTCTTTTAAAGGGTATTATAATGTTTACCTTAAGTAACTCAAGACCTTGATCTCTACCTAGAGCGTACCACAGGTAGCCCAGGAACAAACACACGTTTAAACTGTAATTGCAGGGCTGTTAACACAATCCACTTAGAGATAATCTCTTTGATAAATCTTTAATCTTTACCATCCACAGTTTAGTATCCAAGGCATGTCAGTAGAACCGAGCAAAGTGAAATGGGTGCACTAGAGGTATTCAGATAAATCTGAGCACTTGTCTTAGCACCTTTGAAAGAGCCTTCAGTGAAATAAGAGTACAGTTTCTGCTTCTTAATTTTTTTTAAATTCAGGTTCCAATATTTGTGTATTTGCTACCAACCCCATTATTTCATGTACCATTACAGCTGTTAACAACCAACCTGGGTGGTGTTCTACAGTGAACTGTCTGTGAGGAGTCAGCAGCAGCACTTAGATCCACAGTCAGTCTTCAGTCATTACATTAAGATATTAAGTTGCTTAAATATGATCTCAGACTTTTGGAAGGCAGAACTTCGCTTTTTGTGCTTCACTTCCAATCAGAAAGACACCACTCTGGTCTTTCTCTTTCCTGTTATTAGTGGAAAAAGAGCCACACGTTGCTTGGACAGCTCACACTAAGCTGTTTCTACAGCTTCAACAGGCATGAGTCTTCCATTTGCAAGTGGTGGAGAGAGAGCTTGCTCTCCTTTAAGGCATCTGGTGATCAGGATTTGGCGAGGCAGTAGCTTGTGTTCCATACCAGAGAGGATCAAAGTATAAACAGAGATCAGAATCAGTATTTCTGGTAAATGGCAGTAGGTGTCTTGAAAGCCCTCAGCCAAGATAGGGGAAGTTCAATTTAAAGTTTTTTGTCTTCATAAAGTGATGTTATTCACAAGGTTCATACCCTTGTCTCCTCCTATAAAGGCAGTAGTGCTGGACCATAAAAACAATATCAAAAATGATAGAGAAGACACCCAGGCCAAACTTGGTTGGATCTCCGAAGATTAGCTTCCACTGATCTGTCAAACACAGAATTGGAGAGTTAAGATTAACTCCTTGAGTGTGGTCTTGTCTCAAGGCTACAAGGTTGTGCCATACGTGTTAGAGAAGTTCATGGTTATTACCTGGACTGCTTAGACACACCTGAAGTCTGATGCTAGTGCGCATCTTATGCAGAGCTAATTAATAACTATTCTGAAGAAGCCACAGGAACAGTTATTTCCTTTTCTATCTTGAAGGAATATGAACGGATTCTTTATTCTTAGGATAAGAACAGCTACCCATACTATAGCACAAATCATTCTCCCAAGATAGATAACCTACCAGGTCATATCTGCTTTGTAGCAGGATTCTCCCACCCCATTAAGAAAGGCCCCACCACCTCAGTTCCAGCCTCACCGTTGTTGTATGACTGCAAAAACATCTGGAGAAGGCTGAAGCTTCCACCGGTGAAGTCTAGTAATACATTTCCAATACTCCATCCCTCAGTGCTCTTCCGACGGAAATTCATGTATGCCTGAGAGTGTGAGAGGTTGGTCAGTGTGCCATGGACAAGTATTTCTGAGATTAACATTTAAGAAGCCTTCTGTATAACTATACTGGGTTTGTCACTAATAGTTTTAATAAATAACCATTGCTGGTTTAGCCTAGTCAGACTTTCAAGAGCATACACTACAGGCTCAGGGTGACAGGAATAGAGTATAAAAGCAGAAAAGTTCAGATTTACCTGTGGAAAATATTTTATCAGTGTGACTGCTAACTTAATGTAAGAAAAGCAGAATAAGAACTGTAGCCATGTCATTTCCTCAGCTGCAGCAAGAAATAGTGTTGTAAATGTGAAGATCCAGGCAAGTGCCAGCAGTCCAACAACAACTTTGGATACTTTCTGACCAGCTCTCTGAAATGGAAAGGCAGATATACTTAGATTGACCGACGTGATACATCCCCAGACACTGTGAGATACAGAATGTGCTCAGGACCATGCCAGGTTACAGTCTAACTGGTACAATGACAGGTTTGATCTCATACCACAGCGGAATTTTAATATTAAATGAGTGCTACAGCAACCAGCTGTAGGTTTGCAAGAGCTGATGAGCTATACTCAACATCAATCATTTGGAACACTATTGTCATGAGGAAGTGGGAAACAATATTGTAGCACTATTTTTGAGTGCGATGCCTATTATTGGTGCTACATTGTAACAAATCTGAGTTCAGTCTGATGATATCAAGCGGTCCTAGATATGTGAAAGGCTGCTAATACCATTATGGTAAAAGATACATAGTTGCCTTTTTATTCTTCACTTAGAAAAGACTGTTGCACCTGGCAGTGGAGAAAAAATGGGCTGTTGCAGCTTGAAGTTCAGCTTCACCAAAGGAAGCCCCCCAAGAGAGAAACAGTTATCATCTAGAGAAAATTGGCTGTTCAGATCAGAGGCTTTTACAATGGGAATTAAAGAAAGAACTTCCTGATTGTAACAATCAGTCTCACCTGAAAAAGGAGTGGGAATAATAAAAGGGCCTTTGCAGCTGTTTCAGAAGAGGTTGAAAAAAACCTGGTTTTAATTGCAGGGAACCCTCGAGGACCAGTCCTAGCTTGAGGAATACTCCCAAGTAATGAGGAAACAGCAAAGCACATACCAGTATTTGCACTGTGCAGAGCTGTAATCTATGTGCTGTCTAGAGATCTGTTTGGGAACTTTATGAACTTGGCTGTTTGCCTTAGTTATTTTGAGTCCTTAAAGGAGTTTACTTATAAGCTCAGGACATCCATGAGGCTGAAGTAGCTAAGCCTACTGGAGTTGCTATAAGCCCAGGAAAGATAAAAGGTGGCTGGATTGTGAAGCCTGACTTCTAAAAAGTCCAATGAAGCACCATGAAGAGGACCTTGGAGCCCAAAAGGAGCGGTGAGGTGCCCGGCAGAGGGAGCTCCGCCTGAGCTGACACGGCATCCAGACTTACCTCGTAGATGCAGCACTGAATTATGGTGAGGAGAGTCAGAGCCACTGCATGGAGACTGAAGAAAACATCATTGATAGCCACAGGGTTCACCCCACTGGGATAACTGACTAGGAATTCCTCCTAAAGGTAAGAGAAACCAAAACCAGCCAAATGCTTTAAATCATTTGGAACACTATTGTCATGAGGAAGTGGGAAACAATATTGTAGCACTATTTTTGAGTGCGATGCCTATTATTGGTGCTACATTGTAACAAATTTGAGTTCAGTCTGATGATATCAAGCGGTCCTAGATATGTGAAAGGCTGCTAATACCATTATGGTAAAAGATACATAGTTGCCTTTTTATTCTTCACTTAGAAAAGACTGTTGCACCTGGCAGTGGAGAAAAAATGGGCTGTTGCAGCTTGAAGTTCAGCTTCACCAAAGGAAGCCCCCCAAGAGAGAAACAGTTATCATCTAGAGAAAATTGGCTGTTCAGATCAGAGGCTTTTACAATGGGAATTAAAGAAAGAACTTCCTGATTGTAACAATCAGTCTCACCTGAAAAAGGAGCAGGAATAATAAAAGAGCCTTTGCAGCTGTTTCAGAAGAGGTTGAAAAAAACCTGGTTTTAATTGCAGGGAACCCTCGAGGACCAGTCCTAGCTTGAGGAATACTCCCAAGTAATGAGGAAACAGCAAAGCACATACCAGTATTTGCACTGTGCAGAGCTGTAATCTATGTGCTGTCTAGAGATCTGTTTGGGAATTTTATGAACTTGGCTGTTTGCCTTAGTTATTTTGAGTCCTTAAAGGAGTTTACTTATAAGCTCAGGACATCCATGAGGCTGAAGTAGCTAAGCCTACTGGAGTTGCTATAAGCCCAGGAAAGATAAAAGGCGCCTGGATTGTGAAGCCTGACTTCTAAAAAGTCCAATGAAGCACCATGAAGAGGACCTTGGAGCCCAAAAGGAGCGGTGAGGTGCCCGGCAGAGGGAGCTCCGCCTGAGCTGACACGGCATCCAGACTTACCTCGTAGATGCAGCACTGAATTATGGTGAGGAGAGTCAGAGCCACTGCATGGAGACTGAAGAAAACATCATTGATAGCCACAGGGTTCACCCCACTGGGATAACTGACTAGGAATTCCTCCTAAAGGTAAGAGAAACCAAAACCAGCCAAATGCTTTAAGTCTCTTCTGTAGATACCCGCCCTCTGGCAAGTATTAAGACAAAATTATGCTTACCTTAATCAAGGGAATCCAGAAGAGTCCAACATTAAACACACTATATGCTATAAAGCCAGTAAGGTTTAATGCTATAAAGTCAAAACTTAGTCCAACAACACTAGAGAAGGGGGGAAAAAAAAAAAGGCTGAGAATATGTATTGGAGCATTACAGGCAGTTCCAGAGACAACTTGACCCTGCTAGGAATTCCTCCTAAAGGTAAGAGAAACCAAAACCAGCCAAATGCTTTAACTCCCTTCTGTAGATACCTGCCCTCTGGCAAGTATTGAGACAAAATTATGCTTACCTTAATCAAGGGAATCCAGAAGAGTCCAACATTAAACACACTATATGCTATAAAGCCAGTAAGGTTTAATGCTATAAAGTCAAAACTTAGTCCAACAACACTAGAGAAGGGGGGAAAGAAAAAAAAAAAAGGCTGAGAAATATGTATTGGAGCATAACAGGCAGTTCCAGAGACAACTTGACCCTAGAATGTACAGATTTATAAGGCAATTTTTGATGTAAGCCAAAGCTGCAGGTATTGTGAGGAGATGCTGTTGTGAGTTCATCAGGAAGCAAGGTGAAATACCCCTCATATGCTGTGCACAGGTACTCACAACAGCTCTCACTGACAAGGCTGTGTCCCTGCTGTTTAACTTCACCCCTCCATGAGCTCAAACAGCCTGATAAAACCATTCCAGCCTGAATCCACAGAAGCAGTAGTGCATCTTTGCCAAAACAAATTCTTTAGTTTTCGTATATACTAATGTTTCTACTTACATTTCCTTAGGTTAAAGGGAGCTGGCCTAATGACAGCAGCACAAGGAGCTGCCTGATAAGCAGCCTAAAAGGTAGGTAATCTTTGAAGGTGGTCATCACAATTGGTCTATGGAGATGGTTTATAACATGACACCATGACACCAAAGGGAATGGGGAAGTCTCCTCTAATACAAATAAGTATTGGATGGCAAGCCATAGGATTAGGTGTCTATAGGATGCACTTAGTTTCCCCTGACCTACATGCATAAAAGCTCACTGGGGCTGCATTTATTCATGCTCTGTCCTTGCCTTGCTTTTTTCCCCTAGTCTTTCCATGCGTAATTCATGTTAACCAAGATGGATGTAACTGAAGCCAGGAACATGATTTGCAGAAGTGCTTAAGTGACTTGCAAATACCCCTTAAGTCTCTTTACCTTTTTCGTCGCCAGTTCTCAAAGAGTTGAGGATAAAAGGAGATAGACCAGGCGAGGAAATAGATCCAGCCAATCACCTCGTCAGCGTATCTCACTATGATGCTATGAATCACTTGAAATTGAATCCTGGGTCTGATGGTTAATGCAAAAAGACTTAGTTAATTTGTCTGTTCACACTTTTTGCTTTGTTCTGCTTTGAGAGAAAAAACAGAGTCCAGGTGTTGAGACAAGACCATATTCAGAGTTCTTTTCAGTTGAGTTACTCCCCTTTTCTTTAGTGTCCTTGTTACATTTAGGATATATCCCACTCCTAAGCTCAACCTACCCTTTCCTTTCCATTCCTTTACCATAGAAATCTTCAAAAGAGTCATCTCGTGGCTATGGCTTCCACTCTCTTAGCACGAGTTTTGTTATGCAAGAGCAGAGTTTCACTTTTCACACTGTGCCAGCAAAGCCTCATGATCACGCCTGTCCTGTTGATATTTCATGTGCTTACCTCTGCATTTGCTTCAAATCTTAAAAGCAGAAGTAAAACGAGGAAGTAAATCAGGAATATCCTGTTGCTCAGCAGCATCTGGGCAACAAGCAAATATAACCCAGTTTTCTCTGTCTTGCTCAACTGTTTTCCTATTAGGGAGGACTGGTGTCTCTGAAAACTAGACTTTTCCCTAAGTAGAAAGCAAAGCACCTGTATCTCGTGGCAGTGACATGAGCACACAGCTGCATCAGGCTATTAGCACTCCAAAACAAGTTCTGCACAGTAAGAACGATATCCCACTGAATATTTACAACTAAATGCTTCCTGGATCAGAAATACTGACATGTAGTTTTGATACTTTTGGGAGGTGTTATTAAAACCAGGCTAAGGAGCCATGAGAACTCGCAGTCACCTAGTAATGAAATCTAAAATACCAAGACTATCACTCTACTTCCATACCCTGTATTTATCTGAATCCCCTGGGGATTGCTGGAGGGTCACATCTTCTCAATGACATACAACCCATCTCCCATTAACTATTTAACTGTAAGAAGGGAATAGTTACCCCAAAGTGTAGGAAGCTGTAGGATAGTAAGTAGAACTAAAACCAGTTTCTCACCCAGTTAAGTTGGAATTAATGGTATAAAGATAAACTGTTACTTGTCCAACATCCTCTGCTTTCACTTGGAAGTCTGCTTTAGTATGACCTGCAGGCAATTGTACCTGCAAGGCAAAGTGGAGGGAAGAAAGAGGAGAGTTGCACCATGCTCACAGCAGGCTTTTGCATAAGGTCAGAAGTCTGTTCTGTGACTTACTTCGTCAGGCAGTTCAACAATAGTGCTGCGTTTTGATGAGTGTGTAATATTGAGAGTTATCACCAGTGTCTCATTTAATGGAGCCCTGTGAATGCAGAAAAAGCAAGTTAGACTGGTGCCTGAGTTCCCTGTATTAAACAATGAGACTAAGGTGCACCAGCCCCCTTTCTGGAGTAGCTGCATTTCTTTGCTAGAAACGGTGAGTTCTATTTGCTTGGTAAAGTTTTTTTTTGGTGGTCCCTCCAGGAAATGCAAGTTTCTCTTAAGCATCAATTTTTAGAAATGGAGGAACTGTAAGTTCACTCATGGAAGACACTTCAGTAAGCTAATATAGGGCAGACAGTATAAAACATCAAAACAGCTTTTCCTGCTCAACTTCCCATACAAATGGCATGGGATATTGTCAGAAGCCAACCATATGAGGCTGTTTGTGAGAATGCTGCACTATCTTGGTCCATTCTGGTACTAAGAGATGTAGTAGTCTAGAAGCGGCCAGTCACACCAATGAGATTTGCTCTGTATGAACAGTTAACTGAGGCTGCAAGAAAGTCTTAAGCACGCAGCCAAGTCATACCCATGCTCTGTATGAACAGTTAACTGAGGCTGCAGGAAAGTCTTAAGCACACAGCCAAGTCCTACCCGCTTTCCCATACCCCATTCCAAAAAGAAAGTAAAGACACAATCATGATTTTACCTCAGAGAGATAGTGACGTTTGCTGAACTTCCACTTTCTAATGAAACTACTTCAGGGGCAGACAGTACAATGACTCCATCTGGGAGGAAAAAAACAACCAAAAAAACCCCCCACAAATTTCAATTACTACCAATGACTAATAGCTCCTTCAGAAGAACTATCTGCTTTCTTTTGTGATACAAACATTTTCCCCATTGGTACCTGCACTGTCAGATTAATTATATTAGTACACATGATAAACAGCAAAGAGAGTACAGCTTATTTCAAGGCAACTAAACGACTTCAAAGGAGAAGTAAACAACTATTACTTGACCATGGACAAGGAAGCAATTTAAATGTTAGAAGTGCAACAAAAGTTCACGCTAAGAGAAAGCTGTAGGATATTTCAAACCCACAGTAACTGTTTCTTGATATGATCCAGGTAACTTAGGATGTTCAAGAGAATATACATTTACTATCCTAACATTTCAGGAATCACAAGCACCTTACTATAGTGCTCTGAAATACTGCTATTAAGGGGCACACTTTACAACAATCCATCTATGTTGTACCACATCATGCTTTAAGAGAGGCTGAGACTCCAAGTGCCAATACAGCTGATATCAAAACCATAAGCTGGTCGTGTGTCAACAATTTTGACATTTGGAATCCAAGTCTATTTTATTCAGTGTATGTTTAAAGGGCACAAGAGACAAAAAAATGAAGAACTATATAAAAATAAGACCAGAAATGGAGAGATAAACAGGTTGCCCTGGACACTTTTTTTTCCCCTTGTTGCCACATATTACATAGTATTCTTAAGAAGTTATTTAAGTGCAGGAGGGCTCCCCAGTTAATCACTGACTTCACCACAGACAGTATTTAATCTGTTTCTGTAGAGGCTGAGTTTGGAGCACAAGGGGAACGCTCCACCACATCAGTGCCTCAGCGCAGTGCTGTCTGTAGATGAGCACACCAAACCGAAGGTAACATGTGAAAGAAGAGCTGATGGCAATCACGGCACAGGTCTCCCCAGAGGGGCGCAACGTGGATACTGCAGAGCAGCCCTCTTCCACCTTTTACCAGTTTAGACCTGGACCCTGCCCGGGAGGCCCAGTGGGCCCAAACTGGGATGACCAAACACTCACCACCAGGCCCCAGCAGCGCAAGCAAGAGGTACAGCAGAGTGGGGAGCAGGTATGACATCCTCATGGTGGAAAAACTGCAGGAAAAGTGGGGAGAAGGCTTTGCTCAGGGCCCACAAAGTTTTGAGGGAGCACCGGCCCATCCCCTCAGCCGGCAGCTCCCTGCAGACAGCTCCCTGCCCAGCACCACGACCCCCAGCCCAGCCCGGCTGAGGGGCACTCAGCACCCCCGAGAGAACATCTTTCAGCCCCTCTGTCTGCCCACACCCCCGGGGACAACTTTACCTCATAATTTAGCCCGATCCCGCCACACAGAGCAACTGCCCCCGAGGGATAACCCCCCCCACCGCGCCCCGGGACTACAAATCTCAGCAACTTCCGCGCCTCCACCAGCCCGGGAGCAAACAGCGCGCCGCGGTGCACGCTGGGAACTGTAGTCCCCGCCGCCCTCCCCTCAGGCGGCCCGGCTGCGCGGGGCCAAGCCACGCTTTTAGGACGCGTTAATACCGAGGATGCGATGCTGAGGAGAGGGCACCTACCTTCTTCCAGCGCCGCCGCTCCGTCCCGCACGGCCCCGGCTCTTCCCTTTTCAGCTTCTCACGTGAGGCTGTCGCCTCCCCGCCCAGCGCCGGTGGCGGTGCGGCCGCCCTCGGCTGCCATTTTGGGTGCGGCGGAGCGGGTTGGGCGCTGGGCTGGTGCCGGCCAGTCTGTGAGGAGGGAGAGCCGCGAGCGGCGGGAGGGCTCCTCGCTTTTGGTTGTTTGTCGAAGTTCCGTCTGAAGCTGCGCCAAGGGCTGGGGGAAGGGAGGGTTTGACACGCTCAAGATGGAGGGATAGTGGCCAGGTACTGCTGAGGGGAGACGTTTTCAGTCAGAGGGCAAAGTTCAGGCCGCTGTCCCGGCCCTGCTGCTCCCACCGGGCGCTGCTGAGGTGGGAGCCCACACGGCTTGTACCCTCGGCACCCTTAGTTCTTGGGGCAGGTACCCCTCAGAGGCATCGGGGAGCAGTGTGGGGCACAGCTCGCTCCCACTCCCTGGTGTGGGTCAGTCACCGCATAGAGAGGCCCGCGTGTGTTGGGGAAGGTAAAAACAGCCCCTTCTCCCTGTGGCCATGGCGGGCAGGCCTGCTTGGCGGTGCGGCCGCCCTCGGCTGCCATTTTGGGTGCGGCGGAGCGGGTTGGGCGCTGGGCTGGTGCCGGCCAGTCTGTGAGGAGGGAGAGCCGCGAGCGGCGGGAGGGCTCCTCGCTTTTGGTTGTTTGTCGAAGTTCCGTCTGAAGCTGCGCCAAGGGCTGGGGGAAGGGAGGGTTTGACACGCTCAAGATGGAGGGATAGTGGCCAGGTACTGCTGAGGGGAGACGTTTTCAGTCAGAGGGCAAAGTTCAGGCCGCTGTCCCGACCCAGTCCCTGAGACGTTTTCAGTCAGAGGGCAAAGTTCAGGCCGCTGTCCCGGCCCTGCTGCTCCCACCGGGCGCTGCTGAGGTGGGAGCCCACACGGCTTGTACCCTCGGCACCCTTAGTTCTTGGGGCAGGTACCCCTCAGAGGCATCGGGGAGCAGTGTGGGGCACAGCCCACTCCCTGGTGTGGGTCAGTCACCCCACAGAGAGGCCCGCGTGTGGTGGGGAAGGTAAAAACAGCCCCTTCTCCCTGTGGCCATGGCGGGCAGGCCTGCTCCCGCCTGCGTGCTGGGCATAGACCTGGGCACGACATCGGTTAAGGCAGCCCTGTTGGTAGGGGCAGAGCAAGGGCAGGTGGTGGCAGCGAGCTGCTCCAGGGAGACACAGGCACACACCAGTAGCCTGGAAGCTGGACCACAGGTAAGGGGGGGCAGGTAGCACTGCTGGCATTTTGAGGATACTGACCTTTCTTTGTCGCTGCCGGGTTGTGTTGGTACATTTTGCAGACTTTGGTGGCATTCCTGGGTTGTTGTCGTGGCTAGAACGATGGAGATGGTTGCTGCACGTGTCTGGATGTGTTCTGGAAAGTCGAATTAAAATGGTCTCTGTTAACTGTTCAAGAAAGTCAAATAAAGGTCTTTTAGTTAAGAAAGACCCAGGTTTCGTAAAGTTGGATAAGGTGATCTAGAACTATTCTCTGATAAGCCATCATATTCTCTTTGACGCTTCCAGTCAGGAAACAGCAGCCACTTGCCAACTGGAAGGGTAATTTGCACTTTAATGTGAGACGGAATCATCACTGGAAATTCCCTGTGGAAATAACCGGCATGTGTACTCCTGTTAAAGATCTTTACCTTCACTGTGTTGATCAGACTAAGAAAGGCTGAATCAGAATCATAAAAAAAATATGTATCAACATTCCTCTGGCCTAGCATTGTAGTGAGTCCAGGAGTTAATTTTTGAGCAAAGGTACCAAACAAACCACCCCTCCTCCCTACAGCCATGTTTATGCAGCCAAAAGTATGTATGCGCAGAATAGTTCACATCTATATGTAGACTGTATTTGAATACTTTTGCTTGTAATCTTCATACTGGCCTGTCACAAAGTAATTTCAATCTTCAAAAGTTTGAAAGCTGGAATGCAGGTTCTCTTATGGCATGGTTTGATCAGTTTGCCGAGCAGATCACTTTGCTGGGTGGTTCTAGGAATACAATATCCACAAATAAGGTATAAGCATCATTAAAATCAACAATGAGTAGATACAGAGGGGCTTTAGGAAGGTGTAAGAGATACTGCAGGCCAGTCAGAAAGTGTAGATAATCTGCTTTGTCAGGAAAAGGGTGAATATAAGGTGAACTAATGAAAGCATGTAGTGAGTGTTAATGGATTAATTTTTTTAAAAGGTATATTTAAGTGTGGTAACTTAGGAAATTAAGAATTCTTTGGCTTTCAGTTTAAGAAACTGTTATCTTATTCTCAACCTGCTAGTATTTTTTTTTTAGGTTTTGTGGTTTGTGGGTTTTTTTTGCATTCTTTTTTTTTTTCCAGTTTAGTACTGAATGTTATTTTAATACATGCTATCAAGGTAAATGAATTCTGTTCTTCACTTCTGACTAGAGAATTGTTGTTTAATAAATAAACTGAGTGAATCCTAATGGTTTCATGCTCAGAATAATGCTTTGTGATTGCAGGGAATGGAGCAGAATGTCCGAAGAATAATAAGAGCATTGAATGAATGCCTTGCTGCTCTACCTCAGCAGCAGCTTCAAAAAGTCACTCACATTGGCATTTCAGGACAAATGCACGGGATTGTATTTTGGAAAAAAGATAACGGTAATATCAATTATTTGGCTTTCCTGTTCAGAATATTATGATTATGAAGTGATCTGAACTGCTGCATGTTTGCTTTGGTCTTCTGTAAAACAGAATAAACAGAAGATTTTCTGTGGGAATTTTGCTTTTATTACTGGACTTTCAGCTGCTGACTATATTTAACCGTGTTGTTTACACAGATTAGTCGAAGGATTTAGTCTTATGAGAGCCCTGCAGAGTCAGCACCATTATTAATATGAAGGAGGGATAACATATTTGTGGCTTGTTAATTGTTTGTCCATCATATGCTATCTGCTGCCAGTTGAAAGAACTTCTACATCATGTGAATGACTTTTGGGGGGGGAGGGGGGAGTGTTTTCATAAAACACTTAACTAGCTGTTGCCCAGTATCTCAATACCTTCTACTGATTTGCCAGTAGCAGTATTAGCAGTTCTGTGTATGCCTTGAAAAATAAGCTGTGCTTGGTCTTTATGTTAGAATGTGCATAGCAGTAGCAATCCAACAGTGAATATCGCTATGTTATTTTGAAATGCTCTTTGAAAGTACAGTAGAAGAAAAATTGAAGTTCAGTAAATTATATTTTCGGTCTTCTTGGGTTCTTTTCTCCCCCAAAAAACCTCAAGGCATATTTTTCCCAGCAAGTCATAGACTGTCATGTTGCGTTCATCTTGCTGCTTGTGCTTCTGTTAGTAGGAGCTGAAAAAGAATTATGGTTGTGATTCTGCATACTCATCTGCTTGTAGAGTGAAGGGCCAAGACCTCAGAAACAAAATCAGCCACAGTGAGGTGGTCACATGGGGCTTGATTGTACAAATACTCAAATAATCTTTGTGACAATGAGGATATTTGAAAAAATTCAGGCCTTGGATTGCCAGTCCTGTGAGACAGGGATGGATTATCTTCTTGGTTAACTTCCTATAAACCTGGTGAAGTCCAAGGGTCAGATTTCAGAATATGGTTCCATGTCACCTTTTTCTTTACCTTATGATGTGCACATCTGAGCAATTATACAAGTCTTATAATAATAGGATTTATGCAAATTAGGCAAAGGTTTATTGTAAACCACAGAATAGATTTCCCAAAAGTGCTGGTCACTGCCTGTCAAAAGTTGTCAGGGTCTTAATTGCTTTAAGAGACACTATGCTATTCATAACTGTAATTTTACATTAAATACTAAAATGATTAGAAAGAAATAAATCCAAAGGCTGATGGACTGAAGGAGCTGTTGCTTGCTTTGCAGATGTCCCAAGGGCTGCATAACAAAGCCTCATAAGTTCATGGTAGACATAGATTCTTATGTCATATTGGTTAATATTTTATTTCCTAAAGCCACATGCCACTTTTGTTTCATTTCTATCAAGTGAAAGAGGGTGTTTGCTCTCATTTGTTTTGAGTAGACTAAGTGAATCTGTGCACTTTGGGACACAAATTACATTTTTAATAGCATCCTTTAGGGTTAGATTTATGGTTAATAATATTTCTTAGAATCCATTTAAAAACTAGAAAAGCAAACCAATTGGAAATTCAGCTCAAGCAGACTTGACAGAACGGGAAATTAAGGGAACAAGAAAAAATATGCATTTGCTTTGCATGTTTCACATAGTACTTCCCAGCTTTCACGGCTGCTTTTTACTGCGTGTCAGGGCAGGAAGCAACACGCTGGACTGGAGCAATAGCAGACATTGCCAAGAGGGCTCCCTGCAGCTCTGAGAAGTTGCCATAATTTAGCTGAGGCCTTCACAGGAAAGAATGTGAAGGTGCCATCAAAGATGTAGTGCTCTGTGTTCGAAAGGAACGTGCTTGGCTGGTAAAACTGAAAACTGATTTCAACCCCTTTGCACATTTGGTGAAGCTTTGTTACATAGGAAGGGGAGGGATGCTCTTTAGTGCTTTGCAGTTGGTTGCTTAACACATAGATCCAAGTTTCTTACCCTTTGCACATTTGGTGAAGCTTTGTTACATAGGAAGGGGAGGGATGCTCTTTAGTGCTTTGCAGTCCGTTGCTTAACACACATAGATCCATGTTTCTTTTTGTTTTGGCTCAAAAGGTGATGAAACTAGGGGCTACCCATCATAGGCAGTTCATTACTAATACACCATTCTCTAGGTCATGGTGTGGTAGATCCCAGTAAGGGTTTGTATGTGAGAGCTGTCATATCAGCTCATTACCTCCCATAGCACAACTGTGGTTTGTTGCTTTTTCTTTTTTTTTTTTTGTGGGTCACCTGTTACTTAAGTTGTATCATTAATATCTCAAGGTGCAAGTTGCTTGTTCCTTAAGGAGTGTTTATAGAGAAGGAAGGCCTTGGATTCCATTCTCTGTTTTAGCAAAGGGTGACTGTCATTATGATGTTATCCGGTGCTGAAAAGTATGACTAATTAATTCGATTAGAATCACTACTGATTCTGTTTCTGCTTTTTTTTTTCAATATATTTGACAAATCATCAAGATTGTCCAGAAATGAAGAATGCCAGGCAGACTGCTCTGCAGGGAATGACTGGACTTCTCGGATACTGTGTGTTTCAGGTTGCAAATGGACAGAGTGTGGCACAGGGCCTGCCTTTGAGCCGGAGGAGGTCAGTCATCTCATTACTTGGCAAGACGGCCGCTGCAGTCCTACCTTCCTCTCTTCTCTTCCTCTGCCACAGTCACATATCAGCTTGGCTACAGGATTTGGCTGTGCCACAGTCTACTGGTATTTAAAAAAGAGGTACGTTGTTTCTCAAAAGGGTTTCTGTATCAGGCTGTTTCGCTGGCAGTTTCTCATCTTGAATTTATGTGACAATTAGTATTCCTGTAGCATGTTAATGCCACTACATGCTGACGGGCTGTGTTTCTCTGCAATCATAATGTTAATTAAGTAGTCAAAAATATTTAAAATGGCAGTATTCAATATAAACCGTATGCAACTGAGCACGCAAGAGCCTCTGACCTCATACAAGTACTACAGATCTCTTTAATAAGAAGAAAAGCTTTTGACCATATAGTAACAGAAGCCTTAAAGTATCATAAAATAAGTCTACTCCTTCCTGTCGCTCAGAGGAGCTCTGCTAATGCAGTTTGAACACTGTATTTGCCTTGCGCAGATTGTGAAAAGTAAAAACATGCCTAAAACGGTAACAGAGTTGCTTTTTCTGGTCGCTGCCAGATGCTAAAACAAATAGTCCCTAAATTAATTTCAGTTCCTTCCTTCCTTTACCGAGGATGCGATGCTGAGGAGAGGGCACCTACCTTCTTCCAGCGCCGCCGCTCCGTCCCGCACGGCCCCGGCTCTTCCCTTTTCAGCTTCTCACGTGAGGCTGTCGCCTCCCCGCCCAGCGCCGGTGGCGGTGCGGCCGCCCTCGGCTGCCATTTTGGGTGCGGCGGAGCGGGTTGGGCGCTGGGCTGGTGCCGGCCAGTCTGTGAGGAGGGAGAGCCGCGAGCGGCGGGAGGGCTCCTCGCTTTTGGTTGTTTGTCGAAGTTCCGTCTGAAGCTGCGCCAAGGGCTGGGGGAAGGGAGGGTTTGACACGCTCAAGATGGAGGGATAGTGGCCAGGTACTGCTGAGGGGAGACGTTTTCAGTCAGAGGGCAAAGTTCAGGCCGCTGTCCCGACCCAGTCCCTGGGCGCTGCTGAGGTGGGAGCCCACACGGCTTGTACTCTCAGCACCGTTGGTTCTTGGGGCAGAGCTTGGTTCTTGCTCCCCTCAGAGGCATCGGGGAGCAGTGTGGGGCACAGCCCACTCCCTGGTGTGGGTCAGTCACCCCACAGAGAGGCCCGCGTGTGGTGGGGAAGGTAAAAACAGCCCCTTCTCCCTGTGGCCATGGCGGGCAGGCCTGCTCCCGCCTGCGTGCTGGGCATAGACCTGGGCACGACGTCGGTTAAGGCAGCCCTGTTGGTAGGGGCAGAGCAAGGGCAGGTGGTGGCAGCGAGCTGCTCCAGGGAGACACAGGCACACACCAGTAGCCTGGAAGCTGGACCACAGGTAAGGGGGGGCAGGTAGCACTGCTGGCATTTTGAGGATACTGACCTTTCTTTGTCGCTGCCGGGTTGTGTTGGTACATTTTGCAGACTTTGGTGGCATTCCTGGGTTGTTGTCGTGGCTAGAACGATGGAGATGGTTGCTGCACGTGTCTGGATGTGTTCTGGAAAGTCGAATTAAAATGGTCTCTGTTAACTGTTCAAGAAAGTCAAATAAAGGTCTTTTAGTTAAGAAAGACCCAGGTTTCGTAAAGTTGGATAAGGTGATCTAGAACTATTCTCTGATAAGCCATCATATTCTCTTTGACGCTTCCAGTCAGGAAACAGCAGCCACTTGCCAACTGGAAGGGTAATTTGCACTTTAATGTGAGACGGAATCATCACTGGAAATTCCCTGTGGAAATAACCGGCATGTGTACTCCTGTTAAAGATCTTTACCTTCACTGTGTTGATCAGACTAAGAAAGGCTGAATCAGAATCATAAAAAAAATATGTATCAACATTCCTCTGGCCTAGCATTGTAGTGAGTCCAGGAGTTAATTTTTGAGCAAAGGTACCAAACAAACCACCCCTCCTCCCTACAGCCATGTTTATGCAGCCAAAAGTATGTATGCGCAGAATAGTTCACATCTATATGTAGACTGTATTTGAATACTTTTGCTTGTAATCTTCATACTGGCCTGTCACAAAGTAATTTCAATCTTCAAAAGTTTGAAAGCTGGAATGCAGGTTCTCTTATGGCATGGTTTGATCAGTTTGCCGAGCAGATCACTTTGCTGGGTGGTTCTAGGAATACAATATCCACAAATAAGGTATAAGCATCATTAAAATCAACAATGAGTAGATACAGAGGGGCTTTAGGAAGGTGTAAGAGATACTGCAGGCCAGTCAGAAAGTGTAGATAATCTGCTTTGTCAGGAAAAGGGTGAATATAAGGTGAACTAATGAAAGCATGTAGTGAGTGTTAATGGATTAATTTTTTTAAAAGGTATATTTAAGTGTGGTAACTTAGGAAATTAAGAATTCTTTGGCTTTCAGTTTAAGAAACTGTTATCTTATTCTCAACCTGCTAGTATTTTTTTTTTAGGTTTTGTGGTTTGTGGGTTTTTTTTGCATTCTTTTTTTTTTTCCAGTTTAGTACTGAATGTTATTTTAATACATGCTATCAAGGTAAATGAATTCTGTTCTTCACTTCTGACTAGAGAATTGTTGTTTAATAAATAAACTGAGTGAATCCTAATGGTTTCATGCTCAGAATAATGCTTTGTGATTGCAGGGAATGGAGCAGAATGTCCGAAGAATAATAAGAGCATTGAATGAATGCCTTGCTGCTCTACCTCAGCAGCAGCTTCAAAAAGTCACTCACATTGGCATTTCAGGACAAATGCACGGGATTGTATTTTGGAAAAAAGATAACGGTAATATCAATTATTTGGCTTTCCTGTTCAGAATATTATGATTATGAAGTGATCTGAACTGCTGCATGTTTGCTTTGGTCTTCTGTAAAACAGAATAAACAGAAGATTTTCTGTGGGAATTTTGCTTTTATTACTGGACTTTCAGCTGCTGACTATATTTAACCGTGTTGTTTACACAGATTAGTCGAAGGATTTAGTCTTATGAGAGCCCTGCAGAGTCAGCACCATTATTAATATGAAGGAGGGATAACATATTTGTGGCTTGTTAATTGTTTGTCCATCATATGCTATCTGCTGCCAGTTGAAAGAACTTCTACATCATGTGAATGACTTTTGGGGGGGGAGGGGGGAGTGTTTTCATAAAACACTTAACTAGCTGTTGCCCAGTATCTCAATACCTTCTACTGATTTGCCAGTAGCAGTATTAGCAGTTCTGTGTATGCCTTGAAAAATAAGCTGTGCTTGGTCTTTATGTTAGAATGTGCATAGCAGTAGCAATCCAACAGTGAATATCGCTATGTTATTTTGAAATGCTCTTTGAAAGTACAGTAGAAGAAAAATTGAAGTTCAGTAAATTATATTTTCGGTCTTCTTGGGTTCTTTTCTCCCCCAAAAAACCTCAAGGCATATTTTTCCCAGCAAGTCATAGACTGTCATGTTGCGTTCATCTTGCTGCTTGTGCTTCTGTTAGTAGGAGCTGAAAAAGAATTATGGTTGTGATTCTGCATACTCATCTGCTTGTAGAGTGAAGGGCCAAGACCTCAGAAACAAAATCAGCCACAGTGAGGTGGTCACATGGGGCTTGATTGTACAAATACTCAAATAATCTTTGTGACAATGAGGATATTTGAAAAAATTCAGGCCTTGGATTGCCAGTCCTGTGAGACAGGGATGGATTATCTTCTTGGTTAACTTCCTATAAACCTGGTGAAGTCCAAGGGTCAGATTTCAGAATATGGTTCCATGTCACCTTTTTCTTTACCTTATGATGTGCACATCTGAGCAATTATACAAGTCTTATAATAATAGGATTTATGCAAATTAGGCAAAGGTTTATTGTAAACCACAGAATAGATTTCCCAAAAGTGCTGGTCACTGCCTGTCAAAAGTTGTCAGGGTCTTAATTGCTTTAAGAGACACTATGCTATTCATAACTGTAATTTTACATTAAATACTAAAATGATTAGAAAGAAATAAATCCAAAGGCTGATGGACTGAAGGAGCTGTTGCTTGCTTTGCAGATGTCCCAAGGGCTGCATAACAAAGCCTCATAAGTTCATGGTAGACATAGATTCTTATGTCATATTGGTTAATATTTTATTTCCTAAAGCCACATGCCACTTTTGTTTCATTTCTATCAAGTGAAAGAGGGTGTTTGCTCTCATTTGTTTTGAGTAGACTAAGTGAATCTGTGCACTTTGGGACACAAATTACATTTTTAATAGCATCCTTTAGGGTTAGATTTATGGTTAATAATATTTCTTAGAATCCATTTAAAAACTAGAAAAGCAAACCAATTGGAAATTCAGCTCAAGCAGACTTGACAGAACGGGAAATTAAGGGAACAAGAAAAAATATGCATTTGCTTTGCATGTTTCACATAGTACTTCCCAGCTTTCACGGCTGCTTTTTACTGCGTGTCAGGGCAGGAAGCAACACGCTGGACTGGAGCAATAGCAGACATTGCCAAGAGGGCTCCCTGCAGCTCTGAGAAGTTGCCATAATTTAGCTGAGGCCTTCACAGGAAAGAATGGGAAGGTGCCATCAAAGATGTAGTGCTCTGTGTTCGAAAGGAACGTGCTTGGCTGGTAAAACTGAAAACTGATTTCAACCCCTTTGCACATTTGGTGAAGCTTTGTTACATAGGAAGGGGAGGGATGCTCTTTAGTGCTTTGCAGTCCGTTGCTTAACACACATAGATCCATGTTTCTTTTTGTTTTGGCTCAAAAGGTGATGAAACTAGGGGCTACCCATCATAGGCAGTTCATTACTAATACACCATTCTCTAGGTCATGGTGTGGTAGATCCCAGTAAGGGTTTGTATGTGTTTTTTTTTTTTTTGTGGGTCACCTATTACTTAAGTTGTATCATTAATATCTCAAGGTGCACGTTGCTTGTTCCTTAAGGAGTGTTTATAGAGAAGGAAGGCCTTGGATTCCATTCTCTGTTTTAGCAAAGGGTGACTGTCATTATGATGTTATCCGGTGCTGAAAAGTATGACTAATTAATTCGATTAGAATCACTACTGATTCTGTTTCTGCTTTTTTTTTTCAATATATTTGACAAATCATCAAGATTGTCCAGAAATGAAGAATGCCAGGCAGACTGCTCTGCAGGGAATGACTGGACTTCTCGGATACTGTGTGTTTCAGGTTGCAAATGGACAGAGTGTGGCACAGGGCCTGCCTTTGAGCCGGAGGAGGTCAGTCATCTCATTACTTGGCAAGACGGCCGCTGCAGTCCTACCTTCCTCTCTTCTCTTCCTCTGCCACAGTCACATATCAGCTTGGCTACAGGATTTGGCTGTGCCACAGTCTACTGGTATTTAAAAAAGAGGTACGTTGTTTCTCAAAAGGGTTTCTGTATCAGGCTGTTTCGCTGGCAGTTTCTCATCTTGAATTTATGTGACAATTAGTATTCCTGTAGCATGTTAATGCCACTACAGGCTGACGGGCTGTGTTTCTCTGTAATCATAATGTTAATTAAGTAGTCACAAATATTTAAAATGGCAGTATTCAATATAAACCGTATGCAACTGAGCACGCAAGAGCCTCTGACCTCATACAAGTACTACAGATCTCTTTAATAAGAAGAAAAGCTTTTGACCATATAGTAACAGAAGCCTTAAAGTATCATAAAATAAGTCTACTCCTTCCTGTCGCTCAGAGGAGCTCTGCTAATGCAGTTTGAACACTGTATTTGCCTTGCGCAGATTGTGAAAAGTACAAACATGCCTAAAACGGTAACAGAGTTGCTTTTTCTGGTCGCTGCCAGATGCTAAAACAAATAGTCCCTAAATTAATTTCAGTTCCTTCCTTCCTTCGACACTGAGATCCTTATGAGGTGTTACAAAGAATGATCTGCTTTGTTGTGG